CTCGTAATCAACCATTTCATTTAAGCTGTTAGTGCAACTTAACTGGTAATACAGCAGGAAAAATGGAAAATTACTGATATTATTTCTTGTAAAATTGTAGCTTTCTCTTTCAGAATGTCTATATTATAAACGCGCTAAGATCTTTATTTTTCAACGAACATTTCCTCTTTATGTCAATGTATTTTTATAAACAAATAAATGCTAACAATTATTTTGTGAAAATTTAAAAAAATAATATGGCTAAAAAGAATTAGTGTTTGTGGCTCATGTGTCATATGAAGTGCTTTGTGAATTGGATAATATAATGCCGAATTTTTATGCCAAGTGAGTAAACCTAGAGTCAACAATATGTTTGTTTTGTTACTGAAACATAAGGTGCATTTATCTTCTTTGGATTCAGAGACTCCTGAGAATCGAGGAATTGATTATCCGAAGACTGTGGTTGATTAAAATTAAGAAAAAGAAGAAAATTTACTATTATTATAATCTTTCTCTTAAACAGTACAGAAAGAGAGAGAGAGAGAGAGAGAGAGAGAGAGAGAGAGTGAGTGAGTGAGGGAGTATAGGTAGACAGATAAATAGATAGATGAATAGACATATAGATATAGATAGAGATAGATAGATATAGAAACATAGAGAGAGTGAGAGGGGGGAGGGAAAGAGAAAGAGAGAGAGAGAGAGAGAGTGTGTGTGTGTGAGTATGTATGTGAGTGAGATAGAGAGATAAGGAGATAAAAAGAAAGAGAGCAAAAGGGAGAGAGAAAAATAAGAGAGTGTGAGAGAGAGAGCGAAAGGGAGAGAAACAAGAGAGGCAAGAAAGAGAGAGAGTGAGAGAGAGAAAGAGNAGAGAGAGAGAGAATGATGAATATCGGTTTATTTTTAAAAATCTCAAATTTAGGTGGCCAAAACACTTTTAATTAACAAGATAGAAAGAAAGGTAGATTTATAAATAGAGGTAGACAGAAAGAGAGAGAGAGAGAGTGTGAGTGGACGAAAGATTTAAAATGATTCCGACGGATTTATCTAAATAAAAAGGAGTAAAGCAATAATATAATGTACAATTTAGCAAAACACAAATAAATAAAGCGAGTTTAATACGTTTTGTTTGGTTCCCATTATTGTGATACATCTTTTTTATGTTGTACTGTTTATTTTAGGAATCACGACAACCATATTCATTTTTTTCTTCAACGACAAGTAATTACATACAAAGAAATAGATTTTTAATTTGTATAAATGATGACTTTTTATATCAAAAAATGTTGCTGCATTAGCTGATGAAAATAAAAAAAGCAAACATGAATGTCAGGTTGAACGTAAAAGCACTGCTTCAATTACAGGCAAGGACTTCTCTTCAACATCGTGCTTGACAGATTTTTTTTCATAACCATATCTAGTGACATCTCGCCACCCCCTTGCGTCCATTAAAAGCCGGATGGTCTAACTGGACGAAATTCCAGACGAGAAAGGTGTTTGTATATTAGGTGCGAGGCACCTTTGACCCTCTGGAAGTCGTTTACAAGCCGCGGGCCCGGTCTCGGCGACACCTCCATGAATAATAAGTACAACGGCTTAATTCCAAATTTAAATTTCCGTTATAAACTTTTTTTAACTTGTTTGCCCGTGTGACAGATGGTTTCAATGATATAAACATGTGTAATATGCATATTATATGATATCCCATCTCGCAAATATAATCTCCCTCTCACTTTCTTTCTTCTTCCTTTTTTTTCCAATTCAACCAGTTTTTTAGTTACCTTAACTATCAATGTAGAGTCATAAAAAAATTAACCATGTGTGATTTCTTGTTTCTGATGAATGACTTTTTGAATGTTTTTCTCTTTATTCTCTTCGTGGCTTAGTAATCATAGGGCTAATTTGTAAGTAGCGTAGGACAAAAATATTTATATCTACTATTTCCTATAACCTACATGCATAAAAAGAGATTTTCACCATTCTAGTCGGTTTAGTTACCAAAATAAAATTGATTTCTAATAGATAATGGATATGAATTTCCATAGGCAGTATTCCCTCGAGAAGCCTTTCTAGTGGGAAGGGGGACTATCAGTCCAAAGGATCCACAAAACGTTTTCGCCAAGAGCCATTTTCCGTCCCACGAATTGCTCAATTTTCAGGTCAAGAAATCTGTAACGCATTGCACGTGAGAACAACATATTTTATGTAACCGGGTCCCACACGTCTTGCTTTACACGGTGAGCTCAATAACGCGATAGCGATCTTTGAAGATATTGCAAGCTGACAGTAACAAAAAGCACACCTTTGAAAAAAAAAACGACAAAAAGCCTGTCGTGTTGGCTTATCCGAAAAAGGACCCTTTTAAATAAATCCTTGGCTCCTTTACTCGACAGTCTCTATTTTCTATGGGTTTGATGTAGAGAAAAATATTTACATTCAAAATCTCTTGTACTGCAGATGGTTAATGACTCATTTCGTAACCAACATTCTATTTTAGTGGATTTTTTTCGACTGAGGCAAATATTTTTAATAACTTGACAAATAACATTGGTGTTAATGGGTTAGAATTTATTAAATTCACTATTTTCGTGGTCCGCATGACCAATTAATTAAGGTTTTAAGTTGAGATAAAAAAGTCAGTGTCACGGGCGGGATTCGAACCCACGGCCTTCGGTTTGATACGCCGCTATTCAACCACTTGAGCGCGAAGTCACGATAGCTCAAGTGGTTGAGTAACGGCGTACCTTAGTCTCTATTTTCTATTAACCTAACATCCTTCAATGCAAGAAAAGTCGGAAAATTTTGTTGAAATTTAACCTTATGGCATTAATATTAGTTGCACGCCGAGCCCGTAATCGTAGTCCATTTAGGGCTAACTGTCTCTGGCCGTGTTAAAAGTCAGAAGAAAAACGGCACAATAAATCATAAACGCTGTATCATAAATATATCTCCAGAGAAAGGGATAGGTTTATGGTTGAGAATTTGCTTGTAGTTAGACAATAAATCATTATGAAATAATATTTTGATTTATTACTAAAAATTCGATTATTCTCTGGAAAAATATAAAACATTGAAAATAAGTGAAAGAAATAATAACAGCACATATTACATTGTGCGTATAAATCTTTTTTAGTATTTTACAAATTCTTATAATGTGGTCTCAATCTCATCGTAAAATATTTTATGTATATAAATTCATCCTGGCTCCATATGTTATGACAAATTTAGACAAAACTGGCAAGAGTTGATGGAAAATGTTTTTTACCTCAACGTGTTAGTTAATATTAGTTACAAAATGTATGAAGCTATACATTCCGAGTACAGAAAATATCAGGCTATGTAATTCCCATTAAGTAATCTATACCCCCCCCCACCAAAGTAAACCAATCTTTTCTTTCATTTTGGAAAATCGAAACGGAAAAAGTTTATTAAACCACGCAATTTTAATATGTAAATAATTGTTTTTTGCTAAATTACGCAATGCAACAATTTGTCCTTTTATCTATTTCTATTTTTGCCGTCTATATTTTTTTAAATAAAAAGATAGTTATATCTGTACAACATAGAGCTGCAGTTCCAGTATTGTTAACTTTCGTTATTCTGTTGATGGAGATGTTATTGGGGGAAGTCGTCAGTTACTAATGACTAATGAATCGGTTAATTCTGCAGGACGTATTAATCAAAGATAATCCTTTATCTGCCATTACATGTATGCTTAGATTTTTAATTATTTTTTTAAAAACGAGTTTGTTCTTATTTACGAACTTCTGTTAGAATTCTGTTTAGATTTTATAATAAATTAATAAATAAAAAATAAATGAAGGTTATTTCGTTTTATAAGTTTTCTTCGGTTGTTTTTTAGGTTCCATTGTTTTAAAAAAAAAGGATAAAAATTATCGCGTAAATCCTGTATAATTGTTACTTATATTACATGTTAGTTGTAATATTATAACTAAAATATTTTACAAGCAAGTATTAGATTTATTAAGATATATACTAAATAAATTCCTTATTGTGTATTCGTGTACTGTATCTGATAATCTAGACCAGGGGTCGGCAACCTGCGGCCCTTTGCAACTTTTTGCGCTTCCCGCCAAAGCCCAATATAATTTTAGAAAAAATCAACAAACTTAGAGCGTGAGCGTGGCCGGTGACAAAAATGCGCGCTAACAGAAGCATAATGGGAAACCTATTTTACTGCGCAAGTTTAATCCCCACTCCCCATAATAATATTTATACTCGTATATGATATAAAAGCATTATTTAAGTTACATTTGAATGTGCGGCCCGCATAAAAAAATTTATTTTGAAAATGGCCCGCCATCCGAAAAAGGTTGCCGACCCCTGATCTAGACGCAATAGTATCGTTTGTTTGTTTTTTGTACGATTTTCATTTAGCAATATTAAGTACAAAACATTAAACTTCTGTCCAAGGTCTTTTTTTGCAAAGCAGAACTCATTTTCATCTAGTAAATTTTAGTTTAATAAAAGCTAGAGGACGTGAAAGTAAAGTTTCTCGTAAGGTTTTTGAATGAATGCCCTCGTTTCGCATAAAACTAGTGGTATATCAAAGAGAATTACAAGCCAACAAGTATAACAACGATTGAACAAGGAAAAAAAACAAAATGCAGAACTTAGCTTCACAGAAAGTTTAACAATGATGTAGATAGACAGATGGGCAGATAGATTGATAGATAGGTCGAAAGCTAGATAAATCGATTTGATATATAAAAATATTTTAAAAGTTTGGCTTATAAAAAACATGAAAATTTACATTTTTAATATGCTTGTTGATGTTTTTCAAGATATAAAAATGAGTTGAAGGTTGCTCTAGATTAAAAGTTGCTTGGAAATGGCGCTGATTGATTAGTAAGGGTTGATCAAGCTGCTTTTAGCTTTTTATCGGTTCATAGACAAGACTCTACTGTTGCACAATTTGTCTTTATTTGGTTTCGACTGTTGCTAAACCAGATCGGCGCACTTTAAAAAAGAAAAAAAAATACAAGGAAAGTTTGAAAACTTACGGATCCGTTTGCGAGCGTCGAGGTAGGCCTGGTTGACCGCGTCGTACGTGATGCATGTCTGCGTCCCAGCGTAAGGGCTGAAACATTAAGATAAACAGATTAATGGCTCATTCTAAAAACGCACATGCCAGACTCGGCGATGCCCTTCTTCGGAAAGATTCAATTAACTTAACGATTATGGGCTCTCAAATCCACGCCCAATACATTGCTGGAAAAATTGAACACTGGTGACTTCATGGGCACCTGTTTTTATACTTTGGATTGCGAAAACGTCTACGCGAAAGGCTAGAACAATTTTGAGTCGTTCGACGCAATAAATTAACGATCAAGAGATAACAGCCTGTTAAATATATTTCTCAAGCTGTACTTTTAAAAGAAACGATTTTCTTGTCTTAAAATCACTTCCAATTATAAACAATACTATTTCACACAGGAATTGAAGTCGCTGAAGCCCTCCAAATATTCTGTACATAAAATGTTTATTGAAAATTTCCTCTTTCTAATCCATCCCTTCATGAACACATTTTAGAATATTATTTTTTCTAATTAGTCTTTATTCACTTCGAGCTCTTTAGATACTGGGTCTGTCTCATCATAACCTTCTTAATGAAATCATTAAAAATCATCACCTCATCAAAACCCTTCATCTATTTTACGTTTATGTGCTTTTAGCATTGTCAAGACGAGAAAACATGATGTAATTAATTATTTATATTTAGCTATCTTTTATTTTAACTTTGTTTCTATTATAATTAACGGGTTATTTTTAAGTTTGATTGAATTTGATATTAATACTGTAATTATCAATCGTCGATTGTTGATTTTTGGCGAATAACGTCGAGGAAGCTCTCTATTTAAGGAAAAATCAATCTCTAGTTAAGTCATTAAGACAATCATGATAAGGAAAGTCAGCCAGTTTGGCAAGCACGAGGCCATGGATCGTCTGATTTACCCAAATAATGAGCAGGATAGTTTCGAAAGAACTACAGTGACACTGGAATCACGGAGGGGTCGGGAAGGTCTCTTCTAGTCACGGAGAAATTATCCCGGCGTCACCTTTCTTAGACATTCTCCAGTTTATTAAAATACCAGTTAGAAACCGTTTTGGACAACGAAATAATCGTCTTAGGGGACGAAGATCATTTGCGATTCCATGACGCAATGGTTCGTAAAGATTTTTGTAAAAAGTCGAACTGGTACGCGTGGGTAGGTCGTTTATCACTACTTAAAAAATATTTCTAATGAAAGAAACATTACATCATCTAGATCGGAGAATACATAATGTGTTGTGCCCTATTTTTCACAAAAACAAACACACAAACAAAAAACACATAGGTTTTACAATTAATTTCTTTACATATACTTACAACACAAATCCACACACACGACATCAATATAAATTTTGATTTATGCTAAGATAAATATTGTAATGATTGCTAAAACTTAAGAACACATAAAAAAATATAGACTAAAAATATAAACTTGACAGGTTGATGTGATGTGATATACTTTTTAGTTTATGAACTTCGCTCCACAGAAAGTTTAACCATGACAGGTAGATAGGCAAGTGGGCAGAGAGATTGAAAGATAGGTTGAAAGCAAAATAAATCGATTTGATAAATACACATATAAGTAGATAAATGCCTTACGCTGTTATATTAATTCACAGGCAGGTAAATTTATGATTCGTGAATCGTGTTAGTCCTTTCAAATTTTCCCTCTTATTTTACCATTTTGCAAGCAGTCATTTCACCCAATACTTTTCATAAAGATTAATTAATTGAAACATTTGGTCAATCGGACCACGAAATATAATGGATTTAATAAGTAAAATGACATATCTTCGCTAAAGCTCTTCGTGGCCATTTCATTTGTTGCTGAGGATCGAATCCTAATTACACATTTGAAAAATGGCAGAAAGGAGGGAAAATTTGAGAGGTAGGTTGATATGGGAAGTTGGTGTCCGAGTAGATCGAAGTCATAGTAGCTCAAGTGACACTGACTTTTTTATCTCAACCAAAACCTTACATAAATATTAATTAATTGAAAGAAGGTAGTTGGTCAATCGGACCACGAAATATAATGGATTTAATAGAAAAGTAAGTTATCGTTGATTTGTATTTTATGTTAGTTTTCTTAGTAATAAATGCGACTTTTGAGTATGTAAATATTGTATTCTATTTATTACAATTTGTTAATTATCCGGTTAATTAGCCTGACGAAATTAATATGCCCAACCTTAGGGCGCCAAAATCTTACGCCAAAAATTTGCATGCTTTAATAATAATATAAGTTTAATATTAAATTAAAAATGGGCGCCACACTGTTTAGCATGTGAAACGGAAACAGCGAACCGTAAAAAATATTAAAAGAAATAGAATAAAATTAACCAAATTGTATTGTGAACTTAACTAGGAAGTAAGGCTTAGGTTTATGTCTCTCTAACAGCTAAGTAGGCTAGACGTGTCAACCTCTCACACTTAATAATTTCGTCAGGCCAACTAACCGGATAATTAACAAATTCCAAGCAAAAAGAATACAATATGTACATACTCAAAAAGAGTCATTTATTACTAAAGAAACTACCATACAAAACAATGATAACATAATTTTTTATGAGTAACACTAAACAAAACGAGAACAAACTTACCGACTAAATGAACTTTATCTTAAAATCTAAATAAATTTTTATTACAAACTAAAATTTCTTGAGAACTAGTGTTCATCTATGCTTCTTGATTGTGACAATGTTGAAAATCCCCGCTTCCAGGAAAACGTGGAGCACCTTCTCCAAAGTTGAATAGGTCCACTGTCGCCTTAGCCGATGAAGGAATTGATTTTTTCTAAAGAACCGGTCAGAGTGTAGTGATATCACTCACACTTGTCTCTCTTGTCCTCCGCCCCGACTCACTCATCTACACTAATCCTAAGCCTGTCCTAGTCTAATTCGCCAACTTTAATTCAGGAGGCATATCCGGTTAAATAATAACGCATACATATTTTGTTAAAATAGTAAGAATCGTTATAAATACATAAAATTTGAATGTGATTTTACATTTTAGTTTTGGTTAAATAAGTTAAGTAACAGTTAGACCAATGTGTAAACAGACAGTTACGTGAATAGATACAAATATTACACATAATATTTTAGACCATTTAATTGTTAGATGAAAGGAACAGATTTTACATTTTACACGTCGTTAAATGGATAATAAGTGAGGTGAAAGTTAGATGTATGTGTTATCCTTACGTTAATCATTAAATTAAGCGAATCGATAATTATTACATACAATATTTTATGGAAAATGTAAGTAGACATTTGAATATAAGAGTCGGTAAAAGAGAGATGGAGAAATGGATAGTTGGTAGATTATTATTTAAAAAATAATTGGATTGATTGATTAGATAGAAAGGAATACAAATGGATAGGTATTTATACGGTAGGATTAGTCCCATGGAACCATTTAAACTTTTTAGATGAAACAAACTGATTTTACATATTATAAATTAATAATAAATTAGGTAATAGATAGAAGTGTAAACTGACAGTTACTTCAAATTAAAAAAAAGACAAATAGATAGAAATATGATAGACAAATGAGTAGAAGAATAGGCAAAAAAATGGATATGTTGATTTTTGGTAGAAATAAATATTACCTACAGGCAGAGATTGGATAGATAGGTTGATAGGCAAATTGGTAGGTAGTTAAACTTGTTGAGTTAGGTCATAATCATTTAACATTTTTAGATGGAAATAATGGGTAATAAGTTTATTGATAGAAGAAAGTCTAAAGAGAAGTTACGTGAATAAAAAAACAGGCAATTACATATCAATATCATTGACATGTGAATAGAAAACAAAGATAAAAGAAAAATAGTGAGATTGGTAAAATATAAATTAGATTATAAAACTGACAAGTGGATAAAACATTAGAAAGATAGAGAGATAGGTGAATGGATATTAATTATAGAGTTTCATTAGTCCATAATCATTTAAAAATTATAGATGAAGCGAACAGATTTTACAATTTACATAAGGTTAAATGGGTAATAATTTAGTTGACAGATGGAAGTATAAATAGTCAGTAGCGTGAATAAAAAACAGACAATAAATATCATAGACATAGAACAATAGGAAAGAGTAAAATGGTGGGATTGATAATTGGTATATTATAATTCATGAAATTACAAACGATTAAATGAAAAGCCTGATGGATGATGAAACTGTAGTTTGGTTTTTTCGATCATTTGGGTCAAACTAACCACTGAATATGGCGAGAAACAAAAACAGATCTGGCAGATCAATACAGCAAGATAAACCAAAATGTGTGGTGATTAGTGACCGTTAATCGATAATTATTCAGAAATCGTGAGATGTAGGTCTCTGGTATGATGTAGGTTTCAGAAAAACATTTTCTTTATCGTGCCAACGTTTCGATCTTAATTGAGATCATCTTCAGAGCCTGGGATTTACAAACATTGTTTACATTTAACAAATACATTTAGGATGTGGAAAAGTGAATTTATACAATGCAAAATATATTTTTTATATTCAACCAAAGTATTTCTTGTATACCAAAGTATTTTCTCTCAACACGACACGCAAGAATGGCACAATTACACAGAAGACAAACACTTTGGGTGAGTAGAAATACTTTGGTTGAATATAAAAAATATATTTTGCATTGTATAAATTCACTTTTCCGCATCCTAAATGTATTTGTTAAATGTAAACAATGTTTGTAAATCCCAGGCTCTGAAGATGATCTCAAAAGTTCGAAACGTTGGCACGATAAGGAAAATGTTTTTCTTAAACCTACATCACACCAGACCGCATCTCACGATTTCTGAAAAATAAACCAAAATAATCGTAAACGACAAATTAACTTTTAAAATATATAGACAACAGGATAGAAAAGTTAGTTTAATTTAGACTAATTATGAATATTAGGTTGAATTGAAAGAAATAGGTTAAATAATATAATAATATACCTCTTAAACTGTTTCTGTTAAGCAAGGTTGGATTTACTTATGATAAACTATGTGACCTATATCTTAAGAAGTGATTAAGGCTAATGATAGCAGTTTAATGTAGTTAGGTGATTAATTGATTCATTTCTCTATTTCAGAGCTCAGAAGTCAACCCCCTCATCAGGCTTTATTACAATAGTAAAAGTTCAAAAGGTTAACAATAGAATTCGATTATCTTTGAGTAAGATTTGAACTCTAAAATGTATGATTGTTTCAAGGTTTGTCAGGAACTTTTGGCAGGAGCTTTTGATGTATATTTTTTTATTGTATTAAGGCTTGATTAAGGCTCGTAGGTGGGCTCGGGAATGCATAGCCAGAAATAAATTTGGTTAAAGAAGTTTTATAAGTACCTAACTATATTGAAAAAAAAGAACGAAGCTGGTGAAGCTAAGAATTGGAAGTTAGGTTAATCGTTGCATCGAGAATATATTTAAGTTAAATATATTCTGCATTATAAATCCCGAATACATGTTTCGGATCTTGTTTCTTCGTTACTATCTTATCTACAATTTTTCTTCTAAGTGCTAATGTTAAAAACTAAAGATAATGTAGGAAAAAAGAAAACACTTTGAGGTACCAACACGTATACTAGAATTACCACTCGAACTGATTTTTTCTTTCTGGCTAGACGCGTGAGTCGATTATAGAAAATTGAACTCCCTTGGCCCAGATGAATCAGTAAAGATTTCAACGCCGCAACACGCCAAGGCGCGTACCTGGCGAAACCGGGCGGATTATACACCTCAAAGCCAGGACAGTTTGTTGCGTTGGCCAATAAAATGCTCAAATGCTCCAAGGATGGCGGATGAGGCAAGAAGTAAAATTTATGGTTTTGCCAAATAATAGTTCGTGGCTCAATCCACCCGACCCATTTGTATTTTATAACGGGCCCAATAAACAAATACGGCGTGTTGCTTTTATTTTGTAATTCCAACATGCCTCAGTTGGCCAAGCCAGTAAATTTGTCGAATTCTGTTAGCAATTAGATTAAAATCTAAGTCAGAATTTTTTAAGTTTTACGTATATTATGTTTGATCAGCATTTAGTATTCTTTTCTATCTTCAAAGTGATATTGTTTGTCAAATCGTCTACGCTATTAAAAAAATTACTATTCAATTTAGATCCTGACACTCAAACACATTTGAATTTAAGTGGTCAATTAACCAATTCAAATATGCATAAGTGGGATGCAACATAGGGCACAAAGGGTGCTTATTGTTCCTAATTTGGCTAGAAAACATTATTATAATGCAAATGACAAGGGATATTGTTCAACAATACGTATTTAAAATCGCTTACGAAGAAAGTTTTATGTAATTCTCATAAGCGATCTCAAAAGATTCGTTGTTGATCGTAAGGTAATTGATCAAATTTTACCATCATCTAAGTTTATTGTTTAAATATTTTAAGAAAAACATAGCAAATCAATTTTCTCAAAGCTTTGAAAGTGTTCCGGTTCGAAAATGTTTCAAGAAACAAGGGCTCCATCACCGTACGAGGCAACTTTGCATACGAATCATTCTAAAATCCGTTGTAATTCTATTTCAAAACTACTTACAAAACGCCGGCGAGCAGGTTTGCATCAGAATCCTGATTAAGGACGAGAGCGCATTGTGAAGGATCAAAAGAAGGATCGAAGCCCGTGTACTGTATTGAGGTGAGGGCTTGAAAAAGGCCGACGAACAGCCAGCCTCCCGCTATCAATCTGCAACAGAAAATAAAATAAACAATTTGTAGAATAATAAAAAGAAAATATTTGTACAAGGCTATTTTTAAAATTTTTTAAAATAACAGTTCATCCCAGTGATATGTATAAATATAAGTCCTGTTTTTTCTTCATTCATTGCATTTCGTTAGTTTAAACGCTCTTGTGCAAAAAGAAAACCATCTCAGATTTGGCGAGAATGTAATCGACGTCATATTTACTCGAGTTCTTTCCATACCATCCCACTTTTTATTTTCAATTACATAATCTCCTCTTTAGAAAAAATATTATACCAACACTTTATCTTTTTCATTCAATGAGGGTTGGTATTATGAAGTTTTAAATATTAACAATGTTATATGATTAATATTTAGCTCTGTTAAAGGTGAACAAGAAAATTATAACAATTGGACTTAATCCTTAAACGCAAATTGTGTATACTTTCAAATAACTAATGAAAATTGATTAATTATCTTGCGATAAAATGTAAATTTTTATATTCTTCGGTAGTTAAATATTTTTTATATGATGTTCATGGATATTGTTTTCTTCCCTCAGCATAGTAAACCTGCGCTGAGAGCGTTTAATTCATCATCTGCTCCATTAGATGGCTGAATTTCTCTTGAACCAATGAGGCTTTCAAAAATAAAAAATAAAATACGTGTTTAATATTTTTTAGTCTAGTTTCAAATTTTACCTTTTTTTGAAGAAATATAATAGTGTACCTCGGGCTCAGTTCAACTTCAAAATTTTGGTTTGCTATTTATAAATCACATTTCATGTTCGAATTGCTTGTTCGAAATTTACTCTTTTTAACCACTATTCACCGGTGCGCAGAGCGATTTCGAGTCAGGGGAGATGGATCGAAAAGCAAATTCTATATTTTTCCGCAGTTCTACATCTGAGGATTATGACTGGCACACTGTAGACACTGTTTTTTAAATTGCTCCACAGAAAATATAGACAAATGGAGTTAAATCGGGTGACAGAAGTGGCCAACAGATCGGGCCAAGAGCACGTAGCCGGAAGTGGAAGAAGAAAGAATTGTGTGCGGAGCGTCCATCAAGCTCGAGAATCATTCTTTGTCGTTGTAAGAGAAGAACGTCATCTATTAGTGTTGGTAAAACCTTCCACAAAAAATTGAGGAGCTGAGCACCATTTAAATTATTTTGTTAGAATAAGGCGTAATTAATTTATTTGCGAAAAGTCCGCACCAAACGTTGATACTGTGAACCGCCTGATGATGACAAGAGTATGAAATTCTCGGATTTTCCTCTGCCCACTTCGAAAATTTCAACGGATTAGAATGCTATTAGAGCCCAGAGGTGAACTAGGATTCATCAGTTCAAAGGATGTGTGGAAGAACGTTTTCTTCGGCTTCCCAAATCGGCGTTTGTGCACGGAAGATTAGACGACTGTCTTAATTAGAGTCCCGAAATCCCTGGACAAGATGAGAGCGATACGGCTTAAAATTGTAAGCCCGGAGTACTTTTCTACTAATTTTATTTTTTGGAAAATCTAAAACCCTTCTACCATTTAGGAGGGAGGAATTCAGATTGGGCGTCGGTGGCTGCAACGTTTAAGGCGTTGACACGGCGCTCATCACTGCAAGGTAAAGGTTCCGGGTTCGAATCCAGCGGACCTGCATTCAAACCCAACATATTCACAAATGGGCTTTTTTTCAAAAACGCCGGCATTCCGAGGGTTGATATAACCTCTGCTGTTGCGAACCCTCGTAAAAAAATTCAGATTTTCGCGAACATTCAGGAAAATATTCTGTTCCTCGTCGAAATTACGCTGCCAGTTTAAGGCCAATTTAAAATCTACGATGGTTTTCAGCGTAAAAAAATCCTTTAAAATGAGGTATTGGTTCGTATTTAAAATTTCGAAGTTGAACTGGGCCTGAGGACCTTGTATGTTTTTTTTTTTTCAAAAATGTAGACATTTGAAACTAGACTAAAAAAATATTAAAAGCGTATTTTTTGTTTGTTTGGTAGCGTTATTGGTTCAAGAGACATTAAGCCGGCCATCTAAAAAGGACACCCTGCGTACGGTAAAAATTTATTCATATAATTTATTATTACAAACAAAGAAAATGATGGTGAATTAAATAAGTTCAGCGAATTAATGCGTAAAGCGACGTTCGTTAGTTATTATGTACCCTCTTTTTTATAGTTATATAAAAATAATAAAATAATTATAATTTTTCAAAATCTATTATGTTAGGGAAATTGTTGACGGCCAGACATCTCTTTGCAGTGTAATGGCTCTTTCCATATTCATTCTCTCGTCTTTAAAATTTTAAAATCTTCATATGTGCCCCCATATTTTTGGCCCTTAGTTACTGCATGTGTTGTATTATCTATGTTGTGGAATCCCTAAAGATATGAGCTGTGGTTTCTACGGTAAATGCCTGTGCATCTTCCATGCGAGATGTATATCCATTTCTAGGCGCGATTTTATTGTTGGGAAAAAATTCTTTGTGAGTTCTCAATCAGTAGTTTCCATCCGCAAGATCTTCCATCGCTGGTCTGACTCCAGATATAATTGTGGCATGTTGCCGTAGCTGATCTGAAGCTTCTGATACATGAGAGAGAGCTACCTGGGTACATAAGAGAGCAACCATAGCAATTTAACTAAGTAATTTAATGACCAAAAGCTTTGGTTCTGTTCTACATAAAAAAGAACCCGAAAAAACATAATAATATTAACAGTATTATATTTTCTTCTTGTAAAATGTGAATTCAGACGTTTAGACACTTATTCGAGTCGTGCGACGTGAAGACAGCCTGCTTGAAAATAGCAAGGCCAGACGGTCCCAACTGTCAGAACACGCTGAAAAACACCGTTTTACGGAAAAATTACGTAAATGTACTTTAACAGCGTACGAGATAAGCTGATTTTATTTAGCGATTGCCAATTGCGTGTTAATGATGTTGGTAACCTGTTTTAAATTCAGTTTACCTCATACGATCGTTACAGAAAAGACATTTAAAATTAAAGTCAGGTATAAATCGACATAATCGATGAGCTCCAAGTAACAAGCTAATAAGACGCCGTTGAAAGTCGTCTATTCAACTTTTTATGTCCGAGGGACGTTAATGCCGTGTAATGGTACGGATTTATGTCAAATCGGGAAAAATACTGCTGACAGAGAAGGACAAAGCGCTTGCGACATTCCGATCCTTCTAATATGTTCTCTCGAATGCTAATTAAGTAACACAGCAATCTGTTATCAGTCAAGAAAATTGGCAGATTAAGACATACGAAGGAATTGCCTTCCTGTCCGATTTATTTCCCTCTAGGAGATTATAATTTTCAAAAAGTTTCTAAATTTTGTTCATGTCATGGTGTTGTAAAATGATAGATTTTACTGCTTAGTCTTCCTTCGGCGTTGAATAGTGCAAATTTCATACCGCTTGGACTTGGACCTTTGATGGAAAACGAAGCCGTAGTGGTGCCATCCAAAAACCTCTTCGTCGGGCCATGTGGTCGACATACACTTTTTCTATCATTGACAGCACACTTACAGATCAATGAATTCGTTTTTTTAATGAATTTGTTTTGCGTCGGTATTTCCATCTGCCATGTTTTCTTTAACATAAAGTTAAAAACAAAATTACCCAAGACCTGTTTTGCTCGGCGTACTACTTACTTAAATATAACATTCCTTGCCCGAATCCTAAATTCACTTTCTCGTTTTTGCAATGCAAAGACAACCTTCTTAAAATAAAACCGTAAATAATGAAAAGTTTGAATATTAGTGGATATAATGGTTTTGACTTTCACGATATTTATGTAATAAAAATAAATAAAAAATTTTAACTAAAGAAAAAAGACAGTTATAATCTTTCAGATACATTGGTAAAATTCGAATCCGTTCCTTCCAACTCTAAAATTTAAGTTTCGAAGTATGGTCCTAATTTTAAAGATATTCTGAATACCAACCGACGAATTAATATCGTTCCTATAGCAGTCTTTTTAAAATTCAATTTACAAATAGTCCCTTAAACATTGATTCTTGTGATAGCGTAATTTGTCCATTTTTGAAATTTTAATTTTGTAAAAAGCGATGTTTGCGGACAGATTAATTTTTTTATTAAATAGCAAAAAAGTATCAGCAGATCCAACTTATAACATTTCCTTCGACAATGACTTTTTTATTGCTGTAACAAATTAGTAATAAACAATAAAATAAGGAAATTAACTAATGAATTTTATTCTAGCAATTCACATTGACATGAAACGGGAGGGGAGTATTATAACATGGATATGTTTTTGAGCTGTATAAAAAAATTTTTTGCATGACCACCTACTATAAAATAGAATTTGAATATTCTAACAATCATTATTGAGGTTTTTTTAAAATAAATATATGATTCTAAGACGAATTAAGTTTACTTGCAATATATTTTTTCTTAGATGTTCTAAATTAATTTATTTTAGATTATTTTATGTATGTTTAACTAATGAACAGTTATCATTAGTGTATTTGTTAATATTTATAATCTTGTGTACCAATGGAGTTTTTCCTGTTAATATGAATGCATTATGGTTTTTCGTGGTTCTAAATACTATTGGATTGTCTGTTTAATAAACGAACCCAATAAACGCTGGCGATTAATCTGAATATTGCTTCTGCTTGGCTACAATTCATATTTGTTTTCATAATTTATGCCTTTCTGAACGACTGTATTTCGTTTATAACCGTCCTGGCAAAATGAATCGGTGAAAAATTCAAATAGAAGGAGGTAAATCTTTTAAAAGTTTTCTCCTCAAAGGAAACGTCCTGTTAAATCAAATAATACAAGTCAAAATAATTATTTCCGCCCGTGTGGTACCTTTTTAAAAAGGGTACAGTTTAATTGCAAACCCTATTGAATAATTCAAGAATGCCGAACATAAAAATGAAACAGATCAAACTGATTTATACGTAAAGGTTTAAAAGGGTTTTTTCAATAAATAACGAACAGGGCGTGTAACTAGCAGGTCGGGCGGAT